AGTCTAAGAGAAACACAAGGAGATGTGGTCTGGCCTGGGCTGTTAGAGAGACAAACGTTTCCAAAAATGGGAACCAGTTCCCAGGCTTAGAGCAAACCTCAGTAACCCAGAGACTCCCGTTCTTGAGCCATAGACCTGCTGCGTTGTCGTTGCTCATTATTTCTTCCACCTCTATAAAACCATTCCTTCTGGCTGCTCCCAGGACACACCAGTTGCTTTGCTGGTGAGAAGCCCATACTTGCAGGTAATACCCTACTGTGCCACTCTTGGGCAATGTTTGAGGGTTAACGTCCCCAGGTCATTTGCGCTTTGATGTCGTCCTTTTTCAGTAGCTAGTTCAGAGAATAAGTGTTCCGGCAGCGCGTTACTGTCTGCTCATACTGCTGCATACTGCCTGCAAGAACCACTCGGACAGCTACCTTGCAGGCTAGGTGCCTACAAACAAAAATTGCCACCTCATTTTCATGCAGAAATCTGTGCCTTGTCACTACTGATGACCACCCATCCTCCTGCCAGTCTTATCAGGATGCTTAACGTGCTGCCCCGCCGGCTGACAACCTGAGGGTCTGCCTGGGAGCCGCAGGCTCCAGCCCGGTGAAACTCCAGTTTTTGTCTTAAGGCTGCATTCGCTGCTGCCCGCAGCTGCCTTCGTGCTGCGTGCGGAGCTCTCCCCGAGCACTGCAGCAGAATGCAGTACTTAAAAGAGTACGTGGGGATATGCTGGCGAAGGGAAGAAATTTGTATCTGGTGATGAGAAAAGCCTAAGAAATGCGTCTGTCCTCCAGCTGTGACTTGCCCCTGCTCTCACACTTGTGGATGCGAGCGCTGGAAAGGCAAGCTGGCTGACCCTCCCCTGCCTTTGGTATGGTAAGAGAAAAACAGTTCAGGAGTTTTGAGCTGCTCACTGCTGGGTGAGCAGTACTGCACTACAAACTATATGGAATTACATCTGACGCTGAATTACTGCTCTCCGGGAGAAGCTGGAGCACTGTTGCCATGGCTATCACATTTGCAAGGGAGGCTCTCGGCTGCCACTCGGAAAACTCTGCAGCCGGCAGCCCCTGCGCTGTCTCCCCTCTCGGCTGCCCCGCAAAACCCTCCGCCGCCGCCAGCCCCTGCGCTGTCTCCTTCCTCCGGAGGTCCCAAATGTCACCTTGCCACCACTCGTCCCCTCGGTACGCTCTGAGGTACCGAGGTGGGCAAAGGGTCTGAGATGGGGAGAGCCCTTGGGGATGCCGAGCATCGCCGCTGGACTGGAGTGGAAGGCTCCTCGCCTCGGTGAGGTGGGGGCACGGTGGTCCCCTGGTTCAACAACAGTGTTTGAAGCGGGTGGCTTATTAATGGTTGGAATTTGGACATGCCCAAACGTGGGGAGTGGGGAGGCCAAGTGCTGGGACAGCAAGGCAGCACACTGGAAAAACGCTCTCTGGCATCAGTGTCAGCCCCCCTGTCCCCACAGCAGGCTAGGTCCTCGGAGATCTCTCCGTGCTTTGCTACATTCAGCTGTTAAACTCAAGTTTAAGTGATCCTTACGTCACAGAAGGCTACATATATTTTATTTACAAAGTCTTGTGATAGAAGGCATTGCACGTTAGGAAGCAGAGTTGACACATTCATATGCCTCTTGGTGTATTTGGCTTTCTCTGCAATAGGTTATTTGTGATCTTAATTTTTTTTTGCTCTGCCTGAAGGCCTGTAAAGACTTCTGCAAAAGATGCCGACATTTATGAACTGGAATAAGCCATTTTCAGTGGTGGGTTGTTTTTTTTTTTTTACTCTTAAAAGCACAATCCTATTGCAAAATTTCTGGCACTTGTCTCACATGTTTCCCAATCAACTTGGCCTGTGGAAAAGGTGAAGTCTTGTGGCTGTCACCTTGCCCCGCTCTGCATTCATCCCTTAGAGAAAGGGCAGGGTAAAAGCAGCAGCTCTTGCTTCTCAGAACACCATCAATCTCATTTGGCATAACCACTAAAAGGAGAAAAAAAGGCAAAAAACCAAAACTGAGATAAGGCAGCTTCTCCTCAGATCTCTTTGCTGGGGATGGTTTGCCTGTCTGACAGCCATAGTTGGGGGATACCCAAGGAAAGGACAGTGCCTGAGTACCCGAGGTGCTAGTGGCATAAATCCAAGAGATTTAAGAATCTTAAATAAGCTAAGGCAGTCTGTGGAAAACAGGTTTAATAAGCTCAGTGCAGTTAGCATTAAAAGCCAAGCAAACAGCTCCAATCTGCTCTAACTGAATCTTCTGAAGCGTGCTTGCGAGAAGCCCCAGTAAAGCATATTTTAGTAATCCAGCCTGCAGAAGAAAACGGAGTAGATGCTCATATGCTGCGGCGGTGGAAGAGGCAGCCTCGGTAAGGAGGGAAATGGTTACATGGGTGTCTGCTGCCGACTTACTCAGGAATGCAAAACCCCACAAGTGCTGAGGAGCTCAGGCAGGTCGGGCGTCTGGAGGGGAGGATGCAGGCAAATGCCCGGGGAACAGCCGTGGCCAAAGGCATCGCCACAAGGAGAATAGCCGCTACCGAAATGACACCAGTCTTTCTTTTCAGAGAACCACCAGACAGAGAGGCAGAGACACCCCTGCACAGGGGAACTGAGAAACTCAGCCGCTGAGCTTGATGTCATTCAAAAAAGTCAACAAAACCCACAAAAGTCTGTCTCCTAGCCTAGAATTAAGCCAGGCTTGGAAGTCATTTTCCTGTTAGTCCATGCCCTCTGTTTCTTCAGGGTCAAGCTAGAGTCAGCAATCGAGGCAGATTAACGGAAGAGTCCCTGGTCACGATTTAATAGGAACCTACCCCCAGAGATATTTTTGCTTAGAGGCCGCACACTTGCCTCCAACCAGCTGCTTCTGGAAATAGTCGGAAGGCAGAAAATGAGAGCAGAACTCTCCAAAGCACACAGGCGTGTGGCTGCGTGCGTGCGTGTCTACGCGCACAGACACCCACGTGGGCAGAAACCGCTGGGAACCGGGGTTCGTTGCTGCAGACAAAACAGTTTCTGGGCATATACGGCGGTGTAAAAGGTCACGGCTAGCCTGAACTGCTCGGTGCAGGCTTCCAGTGACAGTTACAGCTGCAGATGACTAAAATGT